ACAAAAACGTTTGATATTTTGAGAGACTTCATTAGACATTGATTGAAACACTAGTACTCACACTCAGAGATGCAAAAATGTATAAAACACGCCCGTAATGTAAATATATTCGACGTGAGCGATCCATAAAAATTTTAATTTGTGTATCTTAAGGATACATCAAAATGGCGATTATGTTAAGTTATCAGCGCCCCCTCCCTCATCAGCCAATCCCCCTCCCCTCCTTTCCTCTCCCCTCCAACACAGCTCCTGTTGCCCGATCTCCGTCCCTGAGTCCAACGTCCCCTGCATTCCAATTCCCCATGCAAATGACTCCACGCGCTCACGCCGCCGTGTTTGCTGCGGCCGCACACCGCAGAAAGCTGAACTGTGAATTCGTTTGTGTGAGAAGTAACTCTCCCCCCCCCCCTGCGAAAAGCGCTGTGTGTGTGACTCAGACGACTTAATGGATGAAATTGACGCATACGACGCAGATCAAATCAAGGAATTTTAGTTTTCCGCATCACATTAGGAAATCCAAACAAATAAAGCGATGTTATTTTGTTGTATTATGTGCGCATGGAAAGAAGTACCTACAACTTGAGTCTTATCTCGTTGAATATTTTCCAATCATTACCCTACCTTTAGTTTAGAAGATTTTTTACATTTAAAAATGATCATGATTTCACTATCTCCTTCATAATGGCATTGCTTCTGCGAGAGAATGGTAGGCTTTTCTTCATATTTGAGTGAGTATACCTGGTCTTGATGTTCAAATAAAAAATACATGTACATAAGAGTCCGAACTTGAACAATCGTTTTTTGAAAAGAGATAGTTTTGCAATACTTTTATACCAAACGTTTACGAAGGGAATAATTTTTTATAAACAGTTCTCCCTATGGTTGTGCATTACATTTGAAAAATCCATATTTGCTGCCATGGCGTTATATAAATCGTCGTGGATGTTACTTTTACTTTTGAATAATTATAAATAAACCTGATTAAGATCTGTGGTGAACATTTTCATTCATACTCTAGAGCATTGTTCTGATTTTAATGAATATTACTATACCTATTTCTTTTAGATAATTTTATATTAGAGTAGATTAAGTCATAATTAATTGTACCTATATTTGGACTCGTTTTGTTTGAATATAGTTGGTAGAAGTACGGGGGAAAATTGAAAGTTGTTGATTTGGTTATCTTGTATCTTTATGTAATTCACTCAAAACGTGTGTATGTTATTAAAAGTTTGTAGTGTTGTGTACTTGCAATGCCAAGAGTAAGCATCACTATTTACGCTCGCGGTTGCAGAGTGCAGGTTGAACGTGGCAATTGAAGACGCACCTCTAGAACACCGAAGCATTGTTTGTTTGCAAGGGCTGTGTTCTGAAATTTATTGATCTTGCCTCTGCCTTTTGGCTCAGGAAAGCCACCTGCATTAATAAGTGTATTTGGTAATCGGAAAAGCTTTATCTTCTTACACGTTTTGATAGTGTGAGCTTCGAAGACGAACATTTCTCACACCCCAACGTGGCTCGGCTCACTGTGTGTTGCATCGTGTAGAGGAGTGAAGCAAACGGCGTGGAAGGCGGCATGGGGGCAAAGTGGGGACGGGGTGGGGCGGGGTTGAGCCGCGGCGCGGGGGGCGGCGGGTGGGGGCGGCGCGGGGATGCGCGCCGTTGGGGGGAGCATGGGACGCGGGGGGGGGTGGCGTGGGGGACGGCGTGGAGGCGGGTGTGGAGGTGGCCGGGGGGTGGCGCGGGTGGCGGAGGACGGGGGAGATCGGAGGCGGCGTAGGGGCGACGGGGGTTGTAGATTGATTATTGATTCTTTCGGGCGACAACTGCTAAGGTCTTAGTCTCGCTATGTTTTTATGACGAGGGTGGCGGTGACCTTCCGTCGCTGGATGGCGAGATCCGGCGCCAACATACACCTCGGAGTGGTGGGGCAGGCATCTCCTCCTAGCGTTGCACACGCCCCATGCGGAATACGTCTAAGTCGCTGCCTTGTGTCGGGCAGTAGGGCGGCGAGGGGGCGGAGCCGGCGGGGGCGGGGCGCCTTTCGGGGCGCCGTCGTTTGCTTTTCGGGGCGCCGTGGCTTCGCGACGGGCGGGGGCGGGGGCGGGGGCGTTGACCTGAGGCGCCCGCCGCTGACACAGGAGCAGCACTGCGCGCACACAAAGTCTCCCTCAGGGCTCCTAACTCGCGACGCACGACGGACGTCGCCTCTCACGAGCTCATCTCTTTCTGAGGGGTCTTTTCGCGTAGGACCTGTTTTGTGATGCGGAGTGCTGTGATGCACTCTCGCAAAGTACTTTAATGGACGTCAATTGTCAATTATAATTACTTTTATCACAATATTGCCAAGTTCTTCTTATGAATCTATTCGACATTGTTAAATGCAATCTCTACTCTTAATATCAATAAGACAAGGAAAATGGGAACTCTCCTCCTAAAGTTCACAGTCTTGGAGTCGTTACACTTTTCTCTCTCCAATTTCTGCATGGTTCATGTAGGCATAATATGGTATTTTTTGAAATAAAATATACGAACATTGATTCAATCTACCTCTCTTTCTTTTTAACGAATTACTATCTTTTTCTATCATATTGAATATAAATTGTCAGTTTTGCCCTATTTTGAAATTTTGTAAAATATAATGAGTCACGATTATAATATAATACACTGGATGATATTTTTGACATGAATACAAATACATTAATTATATTATACAATAATTTTAAAGAAAGCTAGCCAGACATGTCAGGCACCTTGCGTTCACTGATGCTATAATATTTCACTTCTGACACTCTCCACGCGATCTTTTCCTTGAGTAAAAAACATAAACAGACTGTGTTATGCAGCTCGCTTCCTCAAGGGGCTTAATTAAGAAGTGAAGTAGGTTTCCTGTTGTGGGAGTCGCTAAAACCGTACCGTTGAATAAGAACGCTACCCATCCGCCACTCCTTGGATGAAGAGGAAATCGTTAAACAAACCTGAACATTAGCACCTCGTCACATTCTTTTAGGAAAGATAAAAACAAAGTATTAACTAAGATGGAGTTTTCATGTTTTGTGAATGATTCAGGAATGCTGACAGTAAAATCCTATTATTTTGAATTTAAGTCTTCTCGTGAAGTAAAAATGAAAGAATGGAATCCGTTCATTTCCACGGAAGAAGAACATTCAAGGAGAATGAACCGCCACAAATGTGTCTTAAATAATATTGTGATATGAAAATGTTTCATGAATATCCTACCCTCATTGCTCTAGAAAATGTATTGATTTTAATGCAAAATTCTGAAATAAGATTAGGGATGTGTTAATTGGGTACATTATTTTAATTGGTCGAAACAATTCTGTCGTGATTCACGAAAATAATTTTTGGAAGCTCATGCCATTTGTACGAAATGGCAGTTAAAATATTTACAACCAAGAAGATCTCAGATGGTGCAGCAATGAGTGATGACGTCATAAAGAGCTACCACTGGTGGAATTTTATTTTAATAGTCTTGTTTTTCATTTGGATGTAGCTGCCTCCGCAAAACAAGTGTGTGAACAGCTGACCTGGAAAGTGTTTGCGCCTGCCTTTTACCGAAATGGAATGCTTTCATTTCAGTCAATAATAAGTAATAACGGTGCGAATCCTTGGCTATGGACTTTTAATTACGGCGAAGAGTCATTGGTATTTTATTGTACCCGCAAAATGACTTTTTAATTTCGAACTTTATTATCATAAGCAATGCAAGACAAAACTTATAGAGAAAAAACTGGGGTATTTGGCTGGCGAGAGAAATCAAAAATCTTTTCAAGGATTCATAATATCAAACATGACGTTCTGGATTGATTCAAGGTAGATGATTAAAGATTTGTTAAAATTCGAAATGTGGTAGGTAAATAAATAATTCTTATTGAAATGTGATATTTTATATTAGCACTACACTGATTCGTAAATGTTAAGAAATGCTCATTACATCATGAGCCCATTGGCCAATAGCGTGACTTTATCTAGGGTTAGAGGATTGTTGATAATAAATATTACTATTTTCTGAAGAAAACATATGTGGTTGTAGATAATCACTTAATGTAGGTAAACATATGGTGAGAAATATCATATAATGTCATATAATGCAGTTACACATGTGTCGTTTGATTTGTAAGCAAGCTGCCTGCACTGGTACTTCACAGGTCTAAAATCCTCAAGGCAAGGAACAACCTCCCACTAGTAATGATATTAATTTATGATGTTTTGCCTTTATAGTTCAGCTTTCAGTACAAAAATGTGTTGATTTGACGGTCATGAGTTATGAAGCATTGGTGTTAACGGTGATACACGTGCAGATGCTGCAAAAGCTGAAGTAAAATACAAGAAATGAGGTATTGGCAGAGACAGTGTGCATATTGTTCCCTGAGAATGCATTCACCCACCGAGCACAACAGCAGGATACGATTCATACAATAAGAGGCCGCGGTGTTAAAAAGCAGTCATCTAGCTACTTTACATGAGATTTCCCTCGACTTGAACATTAGCAAAACACGGGAACATCGACCCATATGTGGCCTAGAAGTTACTAGAATTTATTGTAGCTAGGTGTTAGGCATAAATATTTCGTGTACCTCCTATCATTAGTGAAGATAAGTTTGTCTACCAAACAGCAACAAACGTCGCTTGTCAACTTTGCCCTTTCAGAACCAGAATTATGAAATGTAATGCTTTGTAGCTCTATGAAATTCACCAGTCCTTCTGTCTCTCTCCAAGTCACTACTATTCAGTCACGAAATAGAAGTTCATACAAGAAAAATGTTACCGCGAGAAACAAACGTATTTACAGACGAAACGAGAGATCCTAATGTGCACAGTTGTGCAGAAGTGGTTCGAAAGGGAAGAAATTTCCCATGACGTGAACATTGGCAAAGTGTGATGATCTTCGGCCCCCAGTGTGTGTGTGTGAGAGAGAGAGAGAGCAATTTTGCTATTGTGTGAGACTGATGGAGGTTGTGTGTGTGTGTGTGTTGCAGATGCGCGGAGTGGCGCAGCTGTCGCTGCTGGCGCTGGTGGTGGCGCTGGCGGCGGTTGGCGCGCGCGCGCAGTCCAACTACGCCAGCCACGCCAACAACATCGAGTACCAGGGCGAGGGGCTGCCCGAGGAGGCGACGCTGGACGGGCGCGTGACGCGCCTCGACGACCTCTCCCCCATCATCGCCCTCAACCGCACGCGCGCCGCCCTCAACTGCGCCGCCGGCTCCATGCAGGTGCGCACGCCCCCCCTCTCTCTCTCCGGCTCCTCTCCCCGCCCCCTCTCTCCCCGCTTCCTCTCTCTCCGCTCCCTATCTCTCCGGCCCCTCTCTCTCCGCCCCTCTCTCTCCGCCCCCTCTCGCCCCCTCTCTCCGCCCCTCTCTCTCCGCCCCTCTCTCTCCGCCCCCCTCTCTCCCCCCCTCTCTCCGCCCCCTCTCTCTCCGCCCCCCTCTCTCCGCCCCCTCTCTCTCCGCCCCTCTCTCTCCGCTCCTCTCTCTCCCGCTCCCCTCTCCGCTCCCTCCTCCGCCCCCTCTCTCCGCCCTCTCTTCGCCCCTCTCTCGCCCCTCTCTCCGCCCCTCTCTCCGCCACCTCTCTCCGCCCCTCTCTCCGCCACCTCTCTCCGCCACCCTCTTCTCCGCCACCTCTCTCCGGCCCCTCTCTCCCCTCTCACCACCCTCCACTTGCCTCTCACTCGCCCCTCAGCCCTTATCACCCTCACCCACTGCTCTCTCAATTAGTACTATACAATAAGAAATACATTATACTAGGGACAGTAGGAATTGATATTGTGTATAACTATAAGACTCGTCGCAATAGTCATATTCATCTGGTCAGTATAAATCGCTCAACCAAAAAAAAAAAAATTTTGCGTTTTTTTTTAAAAAAACATTTTGTCATTATTTTACAAAATATTGCCAGATGACATTAAACGATTAAAATCGATGCACAAATTTAAGTTCCAAGAAAAATATTTCTAGCTGCATAATTGTTTCTGTACAAATTGATACTTTATTGAATATGAAAAAAAATTAATATTAATTTTAAAAAAGATATTTAATTTATTAGTTCCCATATGGACTATGTAATTCTAAATGGGTTACTTTGTCTGTAATAGAGATTGTACTTCAACTTCTGGGTCATCGACACACATCTGGATCATTTTTTTTTTTTTGCCCAGTTTCCGTGATACTTTGAGCAAATACTGAGATGGCTCCTTGTGTTGTTTTTAGACGTAAATGTAACTTTCTTATCTGTGCCCGTTTTTTAGGATTCATTCGTAAATATAGTTATTCAAATTATAGTTTTCCATGTTCCCGTGGCAGTAAGAATATTCCCTTACGCAGGGCACGATGAGGGCAAATAGCCAAAATTTGTAGCAGATTTTTCTTTGCAAGTAGTTGTGATTACATAGAAGGGAATATTCTGTCAATCTTGCAAAGACACTTCTTTCCATCTGTTTGCAGAATTCAATTTGTATATGTAGGTACCCCAGAATTTAGGAAAACGTACTTAGAATACACTTCTCGTCATAGTTACATCCACTCACACACACACTCACACACACACACACACACACACACACACTCTTTTTTGGCATTAAATATAAGAGAATGAAAATACATAACATAATCATATATCTATGATAATATGTCAATAACACATATCAATATTCTGGCCATAAAAGAAAACTTTTTACAGCGAAATGACGATTTGCTGTGCATTCTGGACATGGATAAGCAAAAAAACACAATTAATTGCTAAAGTTAGACATAAGGTTTAAACTCATTACATAGTCTAAGTTCATTACAGACGTAATGAACATACGTCTGACCGACAATGATAAAAAATTTCAAATCTTATTAAAAACGATTTTATTAGTAATAGATTAAATTTTATTGCAGCTGTAATGTTTTATTCCAAATCTTGTAAATTGTCATTTCAGTTTAATTACACTATTTGTAGACTGATACATGCCGTATTTGAACGGTTGCAGGTGGAGCTGAAGTTCAAGCAGCCCTTCTTCGGGCTGGCGTACGCCGACTTCGACCGCAACAGCGCCTGCCAGCTGGCGGGCAACGGCGACATCACGTACACGCTCGAGCTGCCGCTCAAGGGCTGCGGCACCAAGCAGGCGAGTGGCCATTTGCTCCTTGCGCTTTGCTGCTCGCTCCCTGCGCTTGGCTCCTTGCGTTTGGCTCCTTGCGCATTGCTCTTTGCGCTTTGCTCTTTGCGCTTTGCTCTTTGCGCTTTGCTCTTTGCGCTTTGCTCTTTGCGCTTTGCGCTTGCTCCTTGCGCTTTGCTCCTTGCGCTTTGCTCCTTGCGCTTTGCTCCTTGCGCTTTGCTTCTTGCGCTTTGCTCCTCGCTCCTTGTGCTTGGCGCCATGCGCTTTGCTATTTTGCGCTTTGCTCTTGGCACTTTGCTTATCGCGCTTTTCTCTTTGCGCTTTTCTCTTTGAGCTTTTCTATTTGCGCTTTGCTCATTGCGCTTTGCTCATTGCGCTTTGCTCTCTCTTCTTTGCTCTTTGCTCCTTTCTCTTTGCGCTTGGCTCCTTGCTCTTTATTATTTGCTCTTTGCGCTTGGCACCTTGCTCTTTCTCTTTACTCCTTGCTCCGCGAGTTTCATCCTCGCCCCTCGCTCTCCGGGGCTGGGGAAGCTGCTTCGGCGTTCTGGATTTGCTCAGGCGCAAAACAAGACAGCTTCCGATTCTGCTCGCTTTGTCTTGCCATTGTCTTGCATAAAATCATAGCTGAGTGCTGCAGATAGGGCAGGACAAAAACTAACTTTTATATACTTTTACATACTTTTATATACAAATTTAATAACTTTTAAGTTTGAATGTATTTTTTCTAAAAATATTCTGGCACATTGCATTACTGAATTGTTACTATTATATACGGCTTAATGAAATGGTACTAAAGTTCATATAATATAGAGTTTTATGATAACAACGACGATATTTTAACAATAACCGCCAATGTTCGTTCAGAAGCGGAACATTTGAAGAAAGTGAAAGACGCTAAGAAGAACGAACCACATAAGAATTATAACTCGCTAGTAAATATTTCCAAGCGACTTCATTGCGCATATTTCTTCTGGCAATCGAAATAGTAACATCCGTTTCATAGCTTTTATTCGAAATTTTACTGACGGGGATTTTGCATGCCCCTTTTTTGCCGTGTCTAACCCATTACTCGTCACGCTGCTGTGCCACAGAAGAGTAGCCACTTTCCTCTTATTTCTCTACCAAGACATAAACTCTGAATTCATTTTCCAGTTCCCTTTGTGATGGCGTTTTGTTTATCGTTGTGCATCCTGTAGTCTGTTTAAAGCTCGTAATTTACTTGTGAATTCTCAAGAAAAGTTCACGGCCAAGAATTAAAAGTAAGCTTAAAGCTCATAATCAATTTTCTTAAAAATAGTATCGCTACACTTATGAACGGTCGTGGGCAAGAAAGTTGCAACCAAAAGAAACGTTAAATCTGCAGGAAGTAATAAACGAGATTTCATTACAAAAACATAATTAAATGTTGCGCAGTTTTGTTAGAAAGTACCGCCAATGGGGAAATGTTTATGGTCTAAAATCGCAACCAAAAGTGGTAGGCGCGCAATCAACAGCGTGTGCGCGTCCGTGACAGATCCGTGGCAGACGATCTCTGCGATCGCAGCGTCCGCGCAGCGGGGATGCGAAACTGGTCGCAGTCCTCCTCCTCCTCCTCCTCCTTCTTCTCCTCCTCCTTCTTCTCCTCCTCCTTCTTCTTCACCTCCTCCTTCTTCACCTCATTCTTCTTCTTTTTCTCCTCATTCTTCTTCTTCTTCTCCTCCTTCTCCTTCTTCTCCTCCTCCTCCTCCTCCTTCTTCTTCTTCTTCTTTTCTCTCTACACATCCTGCTGGAAGGTGTAGAGGTTATTTGTTGCTAAGTATTTCAGTTTGTGTCGGTGCTAACGAAGGCCTCGCCTTTTCAGGACCCGCAGCGAGTGTTCACCAACAACATCGTGGTGCGCTTCCACCCTGGCCTCGAGATGGACGGTGACGAGATCATCACCATCGTGTGCCGCTACCCCCCGCCGGTGGCGCCGCCGCCCGCCGCCTTGCCGAGTGCTATGTAAGCGACTCCCCACTCCCCACTCCTCACACTCGCGCGCAAAGCGAAGCGCACATTTCAAACGCAAGATACACTGGTCTTTCTCTGACGCCGCCAACTCAGGGCGGAGATAGATACGACAGAATCAGCATCACTGTCAAAGGGTTGTGTTTTTCGGTTTTGACATTGGGCAGAGTAAGGGTTAGTGTCTGTCTCAAGTGTTTTATCTTAATTAAATCTTTTATAATTATTTTATATTTTACAACTACATCTCTAAAGTGCAGATGTAGACAAGGAAACAGCACACAATATTACACAAGTATCTTATTTTAAATTCACCTAAGTGGAATTCACATAAATGGATAATCCATCCGTGATTGGAAAATAGGTGTTTCTAATTTAGTTGAGTTTCCCAGGTATAAAAGCATTTTTACTTTTTTTAAATTTTAGAGCACATTATTTTCAGGTTTGTTGTTTCGTGCAACTATCAATGCAAACAATTTACCAAATTTTCTCTTGTTTTATAAACGTTTAAAAATTAAAGATTTTGAAGCAAATCAAATTAGTGATCGCAATTATTTCATTCATCATAAACAAACTTCTCAAAATTTAAAAAATGAAAAATACATATCAGTAGATAATTCTGAAATAAAAATGAGTCGTGAAAATCAGACTTGAAAACTTTGCGACTTAAAATAGTTAATGTGAATTTCCTTAGATATATTCTTAATAACTTCCATGGGGCGAAGTCTTTGTGTGTAAACCATCTATGAACCGAAAGAAACTGGCTCAAACAACAAGTCAGACTTCTTTGCAGGAGACATTTCTTTGCAGGAACAAAATTAATTCATTGTTATGACACGTGTATTAATATTCGTGGAGATTGTGATAGTAATTAGTAAACGTTTCACATTGTAAAAATACGGTTTTCTTTTTTTGCACATCAATACATCAATTTTTCTCTGTAATTATTGAACGTCCCTCGATATATTAGCAGTGTTGAGAGTCAAAAATCTCTCGGTGGCTCGTTGGTGAGCGTGCTCGCTTCCCACGGCGCAATCGCGGGTTCGATTTCCGATCGGGGCAGAGTTATAACTGTGCGCTTTCCTTACAAATATCGCAGTATCTATTGCTGTGTGAAGATGAGAAAGCCCATTCTAAGATTACGAAGGCTAGTATGACGAAGGGATGTCTTGGTGCTAACCACGCGAACCCCTCACCCCACGGCCGAGAGGCTGGGCCACCGCTGCTCGGCCGAGGGGCTGCCGCGCCTGATTCCTTGCATGCGAGTGTGGGGCTGACGCGCGCGTGGCGTGTTGCAGCCTGACGGAGCCCGTGGCCCCGTCCGTGATCGAGCCTCCCCTCAAGGGCTTCCACATCCTGCTCATCATCTGCGCCATCCTGTTCCTGTCGCTGCTGCTGCTGGGGCTGAGCTGCTCGTACGTGTGCCTCAAGAAGCGCAACATCCGCGTGGTGCGGCGCGCGCCCTTCTCGGGCACCGGCACCGGCACGGGCTCCGAGATCACCAAGCTGTCGGGCTCCAGCCTGGGCAACCTGTCGCTGTTCGAGGGCCTGCGTATCCCGCGCGCGCACGCGCCGCCCGCCGCCAGCGTGTCGGGCTCGGAGGCGCAGCTCATCCTGGCCGGCGGCAGCCACTCCGACACCATCCCCAGCGACTACCCGTCCGAGTCGCCCAGCTCGGCGCACTCGGAGGTGGAGGACGTGGACACGCGCTCGCTGCGCCGCCCCAGCACCGTCTCCTCGGCCGGCTCCTACGACAACAAGGCCTTCCTGCACCAGGAGGCGCTGTCCAGCTTCTACTCGGAGGGCTACGCGCAGCGCACCGACGCCGAGGTGGTCGCGCCGCCGCCGCCCGAGCCGCGCTTCGACGTGTCGGTGCGCGTCAAGAAGGCGGCGGCACCGCCCCCGCCGCCCACGCCGCCGCCCTCCGACGTGGAGAGCACCATGAGCATCCAGGCGCGCAACCTCACCACCATCCTGGAGCGCGAGGAGCGGCGCGCGCCGCCGCCGCCCCCGCCGCAGCCGCAGGTCACCACCTTCTCGTACGCGCCCGAGCTGCACCCGCCGCCCGCCGGCAGCGCCGCCGCGGCCGCCGCCGCCGTGCGCTACGCGCAGACGCCGCCCGTCTACTCGCGCATCCTGCGCCGCCAGCACGAGCACGTGCAGACGCGCGAGGCGCTCGACTCGCTGTCCGAGCGCTCCATCCCCGACAACGACAACTGGTCGCAGGCCGAGGACGTGATCGACGCGCCGCAGCGCCACCTGTCGCTGACGCCCGCGCGCTCGCTCACCAGCCTCAACACCGAGATGACGGACACGCGCTCCATGAGCGAGATCATGGACACGTCGCACCAGCGCTACACGGCGTCCCTGGCGCCGCCGCCGCCGCCGCCGCCGCCCATCGCGCCCGCCAGCTACACCACGCACGTGCACGTGACGGAGAGCGCCGACCTGCTGGAGCCGCCCGTGGTGGCGGAGCGCCGCCCGGAGATCACCACGCACATCGTGGACGACGTCTTCCTCAAGACCATCACCGAGAAGCGCACCATCGAGGACGTGGAGCGCCACCGCCGCCAGGTCACCGAGTACCACGCGCGCCCGCAGCCCGCGCCCAACCCCAAGTGGGACGTGGTGATCCGCAACTACCCGGACCCCAGCGCGCAGCCGCCCGCCGCCGGCAGCGAGCCGGGCCCCGACTGGGAGAGCTACTCGGAGGCGTCGTCCGTGTCGGGCGTGCCCACCACGCCCATCGCCGAGCGCCACCGCGTCGAGATGGAGCGCAGCTACCTCACCACGCTCGACGTGCCCGTGCAGCAGCCGGCCCCGCCCAACTGGGACGTGCTCATCCGCGTGCTCAACGCCGCCCGACGAGACCGTCAGCGTCGCCCCGGCCCCCCGGCGAGCCGCACCGCGCCGAGGCCCTGCTCACCGTGGAGGACCGCGAGAAGTCGCCAGATCATCACCACCGAGTCGACGCTGCGCACGCTGCTGACGGAGGCGACGGTGCGCGAGGACTTCAGCGCATCCGCCACACCAGCGCTACGACGCCTCTTCGAGCCGCACAAGTGGGACGTGACAATCCGCGTGCGGGCGCGCCCGACCGCCCCAGCTACAGCCACGCGCACCCGGGCGGCGGCGGCGCACGCTACCGCCGCAAGGCCGACTGGGACACCGCGCAGCCGGCGCAGCTCGCTGCCCACGCTCTAAGTACGACTCGGACGGCGGTCGTCGGTGCGCACGGCTGGTGGCGGAGCGCGGCGGCGCGGGCGGCCGGGCGGCGCGGCGGCGCGGGGGCCCGCTGCGCGCTCCCCCGCCGCACCCCCGCCTCCAGCCTGCGCTCCGACATGGACGTGCGCTCCATGACCGAGGTGACGGTGGACTTCGCGCGCTCCGAGCGCGCAGACACGCTGAGCGACGCCAGCGCCCCCAGCTCGATACCGCCGCCGCCGCTTCCACTAACGGCTACGGCTCGCATCGGACGACGACGAGACGGCGCGGCGCGGGGGCGCGGCGCGCGCGCCAGCCTGTGCGTTCGGCCAGCCAGCCGTCGCTGGCGCGCTCGGCCTCCGAGTTCACGGAGCACTGGCGGCCCGCGCGGCCGCGGGCGCTGGGACGCCGGCGACCTCAGCAGCCCCGAGCTGTCGCCGCGCTCGCAGCGCAGCAGCGTCAGCCAGGTGCACCAGCAGATGCAGCAGCAGCTGCAGCAGCAGATCCAGCAGCGCCTGGCGGCCGCGCCGCCGCCCGCGCCGGGCGTGGCCCGCGAGCTCGTCATCACCGCCACCACCAGCGCCGTGCGGGAGACTTACGAGCAGGGCTGGTTCGGCGACGGCGACAGCGAGGCCAGCTTCAAGTAACGCCCGCCGCCGCGCTGCCGTCGCTCATCAAATTCATGTGCCAAAGGGGTCGGGGACGCGGGAAAGAGCTGGTTGTGATTTCGCGGTTGCTGCTCTTTTCGTGGATGGGATGGATGAAAGATAATCAATCGTAACGTAGTCGCTTGTTGCCACAGCTTTAATAACACGACTTTCACCAGCCACGACTAACAATCTTACGTGCATGATACGTCCCAACAATTCGCTTTGTTAGCTTTATTGTCAGTACGCATCGTGTCAAATTCTGTACCGTGATTGGCCTTGAATTTGCGAAGTTCTTATCCTGCCTGCAGGTACAGGAAAATTATTGTTAACTCTAGAGGTAACTTTATACCGCTCGTATTAATTACAATTGACAATATTTAGGAAGAATGAAAGCTGTGATAACAAATTGATTGAAATAGCGCAACGTCACCAAGTGTACTTTCTATTACTTCAACTTATTTTCTTTCGTACGAAATAAATCATTGTGTGAAATAACTTTAGTACGTCATAAAATGTTTTTCTAATGTATATAGGCCTATTGACTTATTGGATATTTTATTACTGATAAAATATGCTATTTTAATGCTATTTTATTTTTATAAATATTTTAAAATAAAATAATAGTTTGCGTGTGTGGAAAATATTATTTTCTTATTTTGTAATTGCGGATGTAATGCTCGTGCATGGACGCATTTTTTTGAGCTCTAGAATTATTTTTGGTTTATAGCTTTTACTTTTACTATCTGAGGTCGAATTGTGGATAAAAGATGCCCTCAAGTTGCTGTCAACATTAGATATTGAGGTTTTGCTCACAAGTAATAGAAACTATTAGCATCGGCAAACGAGCTATAACTTACATTTGGTTTGCTAGTTTTGTCCATCAATTAATATAATTAGATAATGATACTACTTCCAACGAATATCTAAAGCCTTCCCACTTCCATCACATCAATCACACAGGAGCTCAAGAAAATGTGCGTGGATCATAGCAATGCTCAATTGTTTCTCTATTGAGCAAATGCTAAAAAGTACTTGGTGTACTGAAGGGTACTTGTTAATTTGCATCTAACAAATTACATTTGAATCTATTGTCAAGAGAGGGTATTTGTTAAAAGATATAATTATAACTGCTTCTTTTAGAGAAATATAGGTCACGTATTTTTAAGCAATAATGTTTTGAATCAATTACATTTTCTAAATATTTCAGAAATGTGTACGATCATTATCGATCGGGATAACTTGATTGTCTGTGTAATCTATATAGAAATTCGTAAGAAAAATGTGTATTTCAGGATTTGTGTATGAAAATTTCATTTATAATGATATCAAACAGGTGAACTGTGTAGAGTAAAATTCTCATTTACTTCATAGATGTAGATATTTAAATATCTCTTGGTAGTTTGTGTGTTTTATATTCATATGTGGGATTGCAAAATTTGTTGAAACAATGTGGTGGCTGAAAAATAAAAAAATTCCTAGGAAACTTTTTCTTCCAATCTCAATTAGTTTCACTGTTTCCCTGTTTGATTAAGATTGAGATACTTGGCTTTTCATTTTTTCACTCTTTATTTTGTATTTTTAACGTATTTAACCAATAATCAGGAAGAGTGGAACTGGAGAGTCAAGTATTGAACAACTTTATATTATATATTTGTTTTTCTTTGACTAATTCTAACATCTACATTTTAATTGCAACTCATCGTCGGTTTGTAAAAACCTTTTAATGTAGAGTATTCTTAACCTTATTCTTTTGAAAAACCGAGTGTTTTTCCGATGCAGAGATTTCATGGTGCTAAGAGTGCCTTTCACATACGTTGAAGAGAAGAATAATGAAAGGTGATTTATTGTGACTAATTTGTATCAATATAAAATCATTTTGGAGTACTTACTAGTGTGTAAGTAGGCTAGACATTCTTATGAGATTAACCTTTTCTAATCAAGTTAACTTAGTTGATTTCATAATGTAGTACTGATAATAATTTTCAAGGAAACTGGCACAATTGATACATATGTCTTTTTTTGTTCTCTGCATTTTCTGGGAAATATTTTGCTTTGAAAACAGTGACTGGTGAAGGATAAGGTGAAGGTATTTTTTCAATTCTTTTTTTTTTCTTTATGGATTCTTTGTCATCACAATGAGGTTTTCAATTTCAAGTATCTCTCTTTATGTCTCATGAACTATTACAGTGGTTCATGTAATCAATGTTTCTGTCCATTAACTTTGAAATAATTCTCATTACATGATACTTGTGTACAAGCATTGCCAATTTCAATGAATTTTCATTTCATTTATGAACTTGTTTTGTGACATAATTGGTACAACATACGTCAGTTAAACTGTCAATAAAATGTACTTTTGAATTATATGTTTTCTGTAATACAATATTTACACAATTTTATGTTGTTTGTTTCCCCAAATATCCTTTTGTGATCAAATACCTCATGTAATCTGCCGGTATGTTTTGGATGCGCCATTGCAAGGCCAATACAACACATATACTCTTATAACACATTCAATGAACAATTAAGATTATTATGATGATGAATATGAGCATGCACATGAATGATAGGTTACATAGAATTTACATTGTGTTTCTTTGTGCATAGAAAAGTTCCATTCCGCAAAAAAAAATGACTTTCCGCCTCATGGAAACTGCACTGAATCATTGGAAGTCTCGCCCGCGTTCTTGGCGGGGGAAAGGGCGGGCGGTGACCCCAAATAGCAACACCGAATATGTCACTGCTTTGTTGAATAACGGCACGGCCCTGTAACCTTGTGGGCGGCCGCAGTCGACGTGGCAGGTGGTCGGGCGGTGCGAGGGTGGCGGAGAGCTGATTCTCGGCGGGCGGCGCGCGTCGGCTCCTGGCGTTTCCAGGCGGCGCCTCAGCCCTCCCGCTGGCGGGCGCACCCAGGCACCTTCTTGCCACGCCATCGCGATGGCCCGTCCTCGGTGGCGGCGGTGTCCCGGACACGTTACCGGGAAAGGCAATGCGGCGGTCAAAGCCTGCCGAGAGAGGGTGGCCAAGCACTCACGAACGTCGTGATCATTTAGAGTCTCTCAAGCACAGGAAATAATGCCCTCCTCGAAGATCAATCGATGCCGAGATCATTCTCGAAGTTCAAGTGAACTTGTCATCTGAGCCTTCACGTAAATGTCCGAACTCGAAGCACTTTGGTCATTTGTGCACTCGAGGCGCTTTCCTAGTGAGTCTCAAACTCGATCAATCTCATCTCCGACTCAATTTCGATCAAATCTCTGACACCATCTCGATCACATCTCTGCTCTATGTTGATTACATCTCCGACACCACCTGCCTTTGCGGTCCTGTCCTTCGAATAACGAAAGCTCGGAATTCCCTCCTTCCGCGCGCATCCCCGTGCTCATCATCGACTTCGGAGTGCATTGGCGGGGGTGCTTTCAAACCAATGGCGTGCTAAAAAGTTTGCATACAAAATTTTGCCGCTGGAGCTTCGGCGCTACACTCGAACCCCTCTGAAGGGTACGTCCTTTTTTTTCTTGCGATCAAAGGAGTGCATCATAGAAGCACTCTCCTCCGGAGTGTTTTCAGTTGCTCGTGAAGTTCGCGGTGACCTTTGAATCTCAATTGTTTTTACGGATGCGCTTTTACTGCGCGGTGCTGGGCGCCTACCCATGCATCAGCGATCGGCGGCTGCGGTGGCTTTTGAAATCTTTCTTTTTGGGTGAGAGAAACGTTTTGACTGGTGCGACACCGGACGCATTCGGCGAGGTGATTGTCATAAAAAACACGAGGCTTCTGTTCTTGGGTGGCCTTTCCGAGGGCTGGTGTGCAGAAACCTCCTGCTTTGTTTCCGTGAGGGTGGGCGGCCCAGTTCCTACCTCCTTTTCCAGGTCATAAATCTGCTGATGCTGCTCATGCCGATGCCGTCATGAGCGCGATGCTCATCATAAAGCAGTGTTCTAGCGGTGGCGCGTACGCCCTCCTGCGCCGCTTGCAGCAGCGGCGCCAACCCGCCGCACGCGGGAAGACCTCCATTCAAACCAATGCTCTGCTACGAGCCGCGGACTTCGGAAGCGTGCAGCGCTGGCGACGTGAGAAGGGACCCTAAGGACATGCAGTTGTACGCAGATGCTTATATTGCACGAAAAAAATGTACAAATTTAGTAACCAGCAAATGCCATACACATGTTTTCTGCAAGCCTCTCTTCTCTGTGGTAGGATTCCTAACATTGCCTTTACCATTTACTTATGAATAAATAGTTTTTGTCATAACTGATTTACTTAAGGGTGGGAACATATTTTCATGCAATACAGATATTTATAATTACAATATGCATCGTAGGAATCATATTCATCAGGTTTGATTGA